ACCCTAACCCTAACCCTAACCCTAACCCTAACCCTAACCCTAACCCTAACCCTAACCCTAACCCTAACCCTAACCCTAACCCTAACCCTAACCCTTTGGGATTCTATAAAATATTTAACAAAATATATTTTATTAATTTTATAATATACCAAATTTTTACATAAAATTTATTATATCAAACCATAAATATTGTAAATTTAATTTTTTTTCTTTTTTCATATCATAATAAAGGACCCCAAATATCTCCAAAACAAATCATAAGTCACACTTCGGCAGATTGGCCCATTTTTCAGGGGCTCAAAAAATCGTTTTTTGTAAATATCTCAGCATCCAGTGATCCAATTTTGATGAACTTTTTTTTAAATTGTAGAGCTAAATGAGAGCTACAATATAAAAAAAGTTCATTAAAATTGAATTACTGGATGCTGAGATATTTACAAAAAACGATTTTTTGAGTTTCAGCAAAAAGGGGTGTTTTTGGCCAAAAATCCATTATGACCTTTATATTAGATATCCGGGTCCTCATAATAATAAGTTAAATTTAACTTCTAATATATATATAAACTTTTACTTAATTTAAAATAATTAATCATAAAATTTAATAAACAAATCCTATCTCAAAATTGAGAATTGATTAAATCTAAATCACACATGAACCCGATGTAATTCCAGTAGAGTTTTCGGTCCATTCATCACAGATGGTCACAAACAGTCATCATAGTATAATTTTAACAACACTAAACATATCAGGATTCATTAAGAACAATTTACGGCATTATATCCCAAATCAATTACAGAATCCAGTTTTAGGAAATAAACAACAAAACAAACATATAGTAGATTTCAGTTAAATAACCAATGTGCAATAGGAAAATTTTACCAAAACTTTAGATAAAAAAATAGAAGCATAGGACTTCTAACAACTAATAGATGAATTTAATTATGAAATACAATTAAGGAACAAAAAGGACAATGATAAAAAATAAATAAAACAAAAATTCAATAAACTTTGAAATAATATTATAAGCACTATATCTATAGCTATGAACATAGAACTTCTCATAAAAGTAGTTAAATATCCAGAAAGTCGCAATATAAGACACAAATTATCATTTGCAGATAAAACTATACGACATACTACTAAATTGGAAAGTTTAATTAGGAAAATATGTAATTCGAAGGAATGTGTAATTTTCTCTTGAGTAATAGATCGATTAATTTTAATCTGATCATCATTGCTACTGGTTAAATCAACTTCCGTAAAATTTGAATTATTTATTAATAAATTTACTGATCCATCTTGATTTGAATTATTATTTATCAAGTATTAATCCATATTTTCGATAATTCTTCTTAGGCTTATGTTCCTTTTGAAATCATATTTTCTTTTTGTATGCGGATCAATCAAGAGTCGTTTACATTTATTACAATAACAACGAACTTTTCTTGATTTACTTTCATTAGGGTCAATAGGTGGATTATTAGAAACTTTTACGAAAGATTTTTTGTTTTTCAATAATTTTTTGGCATTACAAATGATTGTTTTATTTTACATGAGAATTTTTTGATTCTTTAATAATTTTAATAATTAATATTCTATTAAATTGTCGTACAAAAATTAAAATACATCAAATAATTTAGTTTTTCTAAAAAAGGTAACTAAATTGTAGTCTAAATATAATTTAACCATAAATATATAAAGACTAAAGATGTAATATGGAATTATTTTTAGAAGGTTATAAGGTTGCAACTATTACAATATACATACAACACTTTTGTTGTGATTACAATACAATATTATAATTATTATATAGTATAAAATAGCCAACAACGTTTTGACACAAGCTCACATATTCGTCATTCATTAAGGATGAATATTTCAAAATATCATCAGTATTCATCAAGTCGTTCACCTGAAAGAAAAAATTATTCTCGTCATCATCTTTCGGGAAATCAAAATTCAAGATACTCTCATTATTCATCACAAAGGTAAAAAAAATTCTCCTATCTTTAAGATCATGAATTAATAATTTAATAATTTTTTAAAAATTATAAGAGATCTTTTTCCGGATAAGAACCACTTACCAAGTACTAGAAGGAGTCATTCTAATATTCAAAGTAGCCATTCACCAACTGTTCAGAAATATATGGAATATGATAATGATCATTCATTAAGCATCAGAAATTCGAGAAGATATGATAATGATCGCTCAAGCATTACTAGGGATTCAAGAGAATATGATAAAAATCATTCATCAAGCTTCATAGGTTCGAGAGGATATAATAATGATCGCTCAAGTATTATCAGGGATTCAAGAAAATATGATAAAGGTCATTCATCAAGCTTCATAGGTTTAAGATCAAAAAGATATGATAATAGTTATTCGTCAAAAGAATATGATAATGGTATAATAATATTATTTTTGTAAGAATTTTTTTTTAAAAACTAATAATAATATTAATTTGTAGTGATTAAAGCTTTAAGTAGAGCTGTCAACTCACTTACAGAAAAAGTTCAAAGTATCAAGAATTCTCAATCAAAACCGCTAGTAGATGATATATTTCAATCAACTCAATATAATTGAATAATATCACCTCCAGAAACAAAAGCTGGCTACTACCGCCATGCTCAAAACGTTCTTGACGATATAAATGAAGAACAATATAAGAATTTTTATATAAATTATTCTATTAACAATTACTATATTTTTTTCTTTGAATATTATTAACCTTTTTTTTAATTAAGGATGAAGTAGTGCAGATTCTTAATGGCCTTGACGATACATTTCAACTGGATCATACCAAAAGATGGACTGAAATCGCCTAATATGTCACAAAAAAAATGATGAAAGAGATAGATAAAGCCATAAAGGGAAGATTTCAGTACAAAGACACAGAATTGAAGTGGATTTTGCAACAATTGCATCATCATCATCATGAGAATTGGAAGGTTAATCTTGATCCATAAAAAGTCAAATCAGAAAAGAAAAGAAAGGCACTAATTCTCATAGAGATGATGTGAGTAATTTGTAACTAGTCTATTGAGTTAAAATTTATTACTAATAAATTCATTATTTCGAATAGAAAAAGGAAAGACATCAGAAATGTCTAACTTATATGTTTAATGTCAAAGATAAGTTACTTAATGAACTTAAACCATCCTCATTATCTTGGGACGAATTCAATAATGATTGTGAGTTAATGATAAGTGAAAGTAGATTTCACAGCAATGAAGTATCTGAAACTGATGATGAACTCGCCTAAAAAGAAGTTAATATGAATATTAGACCGAAAAATAAGAAACCAACAGATAAACATGTTCTTCATGTTTATCATAAACTATGGAGGTCACGTCATGTAAGTAATTGTTTATTTGCTTTGAGTTTGCATAATTAATCAATTCTGATTACTGTTTTTTATTCAATAAGGTCGTAATTTTCTTCATTTATCTGATAACATTGGTAAGAAAATAAGTCACGTAAAAACTTTTTGTCACCGTTGGTATGATGACAAAAAATGGTATGATGATTCTAAGCCACCTAAATCAGCTCTAAGTTAGGCGATCTCTCAGTCATATGATGATAATAATGACCATCATTTAGAGATTAGTACCAAAGTTAGCAGTGAAGAGGAAAATGAGAAAAATTATTAGTATATTATTATTCGTATAGCTTAATATTGCTTGTATTATAATAACTTGCGATACTGTTAATTCAATGTAAATTAAGTATTGCATTTAAATTATTTATTACTATTTATGTATAATAAGTATAATACATGTATATAAATAAAAGCATAATATAACTTTCAGCATTAAAACGTTAAAATATCAATAAATAATAATTTAAACATCAGATATGAAAAAGGGAACTATCAGTTTTGATATTTGCACAATATTTATCCGATTGGTAATCCGGTTCTTCATAATATTTGTGAAATATAGTTTACTGATGTTGTCCAGAATCTAAACATTAATCAGCATGGAATCGAAAATGATTATCGGGATGTTATAGTGGTACAATTAATGAAGAATCAATAAAGAATCGGGCTGATAATTCTTTACCGATATACCATCATTCGACCAGTGTATGTGTCAGAGGTATGGATTGCTTGGTTCGGCCTTCGGCCTCACGTGCCCTTTGTTCGACCTTTAGCCTCACGGGCATGTTTTGCAATCTACTTGCTGACAGAATTGTAAACAAGCTGGGTTGGCTTTTTGGGTGGATTGGATAGTAATAATCATAGTTTGCAATAGATGCTAAATCTGAGTTTGAAAGCATTTTGGCCTTTTTTATTTTTGCGTACTTGGTGCTGTTAAAATAACTCAAAATTGCTTTAGATTACCTTATTGTTTTCATAGTTGAATTCGATTTTGGAGGCTATTAGGCAATATACCTGTATCCTATTAAATCACCTTTTGGAGTGATTCTAGCATGCTTTTTCCTTATTGCATGCTATATACCCTCAAAATGACGCTATAAGGCTATAAATCTTACATACCTTTTTGCTATCCTAGCGGCTATAGAAAGTTAAGAATGATAGCAGAAGAGTGCGCTTGATTTTTTATATAGCAGGAATGCAGGATTGGCTTACTGAACAGATTGACGGAAGGATAGGAAGTGATGGTTAGATTTTATGGTTAAATTTAACTTTGTGGACGGTTTTGAGGGTAATTTGGCTCTATAGCTAAGTGGGCTTAAATGGCTGATTAGCGGGTACTATGAGGAACTTAATGGTGACACTGTATGAGCTATAAAGGCTAAAATATTGGGTGTCCCAGAACTGGCAAATTTGCACTACTACTCTTGACTTTGTAAACATAATAATCAACACTCTTGGATCAGATTTGAATCAACTACAACTTTTAAATTTTATTGTTCATAATCTGTAAATTTATCCAAAAAACCACATAAAAATTTGGATATTAAAAAATAACATAATCGAGAACAAATGGAAAGATTTTCATGTAATGGATATATATTAAGATTGTGATTGATAATAGTATTCAGACAGCAAACATTGTAATGCAGCATGATTTACTACATGTTCAACCTGAGAAATATAATGTTTCAAATGAAGTAAAAAATTCTATTCGTCAACAAATTCATTTAGTACCAAAAGATATTTTTTCAATACTTGAATCCATATATTCAGAACTTACACAGAAACAAGTCTATTATTGGTAGATACAGGCTATTCAAGAACAATACAAAAAAGATAATAACCAATTTGTTTCAGCATAAATTCTCTTAGAACCAGCTCAATTTAACAAATTACTGTTGAATATTACATCTGAAATTCAATATCTTGGATTTATTACATCTTTTTTTGACTAATTAAAAAATAATAAAGAAGTAGTTGTAGATGCAACTTGTAAGAATAATTTATTTTTAAAATATTTTTTATTATATTTTATTAATATTTATTATATTGAAAATTTGGATTGAAAAGTTTTTTCTTTAGCCGGTCTAAACAAAAACAAAAGTGAAGATTACACAAGATGATAAATGAAGTTACATGTGTAGTAATAACGAAAGGGAAAGAAAATTGCCAAGCTCTGGGCAATCTACACAAGAGTAATCAGGACAACAACGCATTCTCAACACAGCACACGAATAACGAACGGTCACAACAACAACAAAAAAGATACAAAGCGGGTGGTGAAGCAGAAAAGGAAAATATACATCCAGAAACAAATGAACCAACAGTTGAAAAGGGGATTTTCAAAAGAATCAAAACAACATAGAAGAAGTAGTTGATTCATTGACAAGTGAAGAAAGTACTAATGTATTCTTAGCAAGACAAAGGCTAAGATTTGTTAAGGAGAATTTGAATAATCAAGAAATGAAAGATTCAATATTTTTAGAGTTGAACATTGCAGCACACAATATAGATGGGATTGCTAGTGTCCCGTCTATACAGAAACTTCATAACTTATTGGAATTTATTAATGAAAATAGCATCGATATTATAGCTATATCAGAAACTAATATAGACTATCGACAGGAATATTATATAAACCAGGACATTAAGTCAAAAGTCTATTCGATAATCTTCAGTGAATGTGATCAAAAAACTAAAAGATCAGGAACGGCACTTGTGATCCATAACAGATGGATGAAACATCATTACTCAATAGTGCGCATATCCCCATATATCATAATAGCTAAATTCCTGTTCGTACAAAGAGAAATATAGGTATGGTCAATATACGCTGCTCCTAACGATCAAGACATGAGGAAAAGTTTGATCGATGAATTGAAAATGGCTATGGAGGGACATAACCGATCAGTTCATAACACCATAATACTGCACATTGTATTAGGCGATTTCAATGACACAATTAATAATAAAATAGATCGATCGCCTAGCACCAGACAACCAGGATCTCAATTTCTAATACAATTATCGCAGTTAGGTCTCTATGATATGTGCCGAGTTCTCTATCTGGATGCAGAGTTATTCACACATGAGAAATGGGATAAAAACAAAAATAGATCAGCTCCTATCTCAAAATCAAGGATTGATCAAATCTGGATCACATATGAACCTGATGTGATTCCAGTAGAATTTTTGTTGCACTCATTACAGATGGTCACAAACAGTCACCATAGTATTATATCAACAACGCTAAATATATCAGGATTCATTAGAAACAATTTCCGGCATTGTGTTCCAGATCAATTACAGGATCCAGATTTACATCAAGATAAACGTATAGTGGATATCAGTAAAATAACCAATGTGCAATGGAAAAATTTTACTGAAACATTAGATAGGGAAATAGAATCATGGGACTTCCAACAACTAATAGAGGGAATTAATTATGAAATACAATTAGGGGACGAAAAGAGCACTGATGGAGAAGAAATAAAACGTAGATTTAATGAGCTTTGGAATAATATTATAAGTGCTATATCTATAGTGATGAATATAGAACTTCCCATGAAATTAGTTAAATATCCAGGAAGTCACAATACAAGACATAAGTTAACATTTGCAGATAAAACTATGTGACATACTACTAAATTGGAAAGTTTAATTAGAAAAATCTGTAAAGATCAGGACTTTATTGCCGCCAAAGATGCATACTGGATAGATTATTGGCTGAACAGATTTAATAAATATAATGATGATTATAAAAGGAAAGAATACGATAAATTCATAGATAAGTATGAGGAAATTATTATTCCTACACACAGCCTTTTTAGTGACACATGGATTAATATTATTAAAGATGTAGTTAAAAAAAGAATTAAAATAGACAAAAATTATTTACAAGTACAACGTTTAAGCAAGATCCAAGATAGCATAGAAAAACGTTGCAACATTATACACTCAAATATTCCTAAGTGGTTACTTTCCACATAAGATGTTGTTAAGGAACACATTATTATTGATCGAGCAGTAATATCCAGCGAGAATGAAAGTGTTAAACTAGCGCTTGATCCTAATACAATTAGAACCCATGCAAAAGATACTTTTGCAGGAATTTTACGAAAATGTAATACTAAATCGATAGAGCAAGACGTTTTCTGGAGCAATATATATAGGCCAAATGGTGAATTTACTGAGTGTATGGCTA